GCCTACTATGCGTTTCGTGAGGAATCTTTGGACACTTTCAACTTTTTTCTGTCTGCTGATTTAAAGCTACTGTATAAGTGGGCACAGTATTCAAGTTTGGGGCGAATGCATATCTTATATATGGCTAATCTGGCTTCTGGAGTGTAAAAGTTGCGTAGCACAAAGCCGGTTAGACGTTTACAATCAGATACCACCTTATTTGCATGTTCAGTAAAGGTAAGATCTGAGTATGTTACTCCGAGATCTGTGACTGTGTTCGTGTTTGAGACAAGGTCACCGTACATGTATAGACACATGCTAGGTTTCCAACGTCCGAAGTATGTTTTCCCAGATTTAGCTGGATTGAGTGGCCTTGAGTTGTTAGGTCGAGTTCTAGGTTGGAACAGTCTATGCAGAGCCAGCCGTGCTTTTCAACATTAAACTCGAGGCTCCAGGTATCACACCATTTTTCCATTTTATTAATTCTTCATGTAGAGTTCATAGTTGTACTGATATCTGTATTTCTGCATGTATAGGTCACCTTTAAGTCATCTGCATACAGAATTGGTTTGCCTATACTAAAGCATTCACACATACTGTTTATGTATATAATGAAAGAGAGGGGGCCCAGTTCACTCCACTGGATGACACCACTGCTGATTGGTCTCGGCATGGAGGTCATCGAGCCAAATTTTGCCGTCTGATTTCTGTCACAGAAATGATTTTATCCAGTTGTGGAAGGGGTTGCATATCCCTAGTCAGCGTAACCTGCCGACTAGCAGACTGTATGGGGCCCTGTCAGAGGCTTTCCTTATGTCGAAATAAAGGATAATTACTAGTTCTCTCTTACCTCTTCCATGCGTGACTTCATTGAGAAAGTCTATATGGCAAGTGACGCAAGATATTTTCTTGAGGAATCCGTGTTGTGATTGGGTGATGAGTTTATGTTTTAGAAAGCGGTCTAACATTTGGTCTTTGATTACTTTCTCCATGATCCGTGATATGACAGGTGTTATATTGATAGGCCTATGATTGCATGCACTAGTTTTGGCCCCTCCTTTATGCTTAGGTAATATATGCGTGTTTTTCCAAGTTTCAGGGTAGGTCCCAGTCACTTGTGAAGTAGTAAATATTCTAAGTAATAATACTATTGTATCCGTACCTCCGTTTTTGTATATGACTGAGAGTATATCGTCTATCCCGCAACTACAGTTAGCTTTTAATGTCTTTGCAGCTGATGCTATATTCTCCATATTACAGTTGATTTCACCTAACTTGTAGTTATTTTTGCACGTTATGTCGAGAATTGGGGGCAGATGCACTTTGGTGTCATTGAAGAAGCACTGGCTAAGGAGTTCACCAATAATCTGGGGATCACAAATTATACCTTCATGCTCCAAGTGGCTAATATCAATGTCTTTACCCCTCTACGCTCGTTTTTGCAAGATCTTGCATAGTTCCTGAGCCTTAGAGGTGCCCCCAAGGACCTCGCTTTCCTCGAGCTGTGACTTCATTTTATGTCTCTCCGCAAGATTTTTAAATGTTTCATGTATCTGGTTTAATGCACTGAATTCTTTATATGAATAAAATTTCCCTTTCGGTTTCCTTAGTTTTAATCGCTTTTTGCGGTCTATGAATAGAGTTGGTGTTTCTAGGACAGATTTTAGGAGTGCGATTGTGTCTCTTACCGAACTGGCTGTCTTGTAGAAGTTATTAAGTGCTACTTCTAAGTTATTACTGGTAAAGTATTCACCACAGTCAGAGCTTCTCAGGAGCGCTGGTAGGAATTCCCAGTCGGCATTTCTATAATCCCTATATTGATAGTAAACCGGGGAAATTTTAGGTATGTATCTAGTTGTTGGTTGAAGAGGTAGAGTGCAGTCGAGTATGTTGTGATCACTGTTGTCTAGTTTATTCCCCACCTCTGTCGAGATCGGCTCTATTTTGTGGCAGAGTGTTAGGTCGAGAATATTGTTGTCTTGTTGGGAGGCGTACGCACTGCTTCCATCCTCCTACATCTATAGTTTCTAGGAGCTCGTCATGGATTCTAGGTTCAGTATAGATATCGCAATTCACTCCGGTGAGGTCAAAATAGCCACAAACTAGTTTGTGGTCGAATTCCAGCGTAGGTATATGCTCTAGTATTTCTCCGATAACCGTATCAGTCACTTTAGAGCTGTTAGGGGTTCTGTATATTCATTCCACTAGAATTTTATTTTCATTCGTGTGGATGCTTATCCACTTGGATTCTGGGAGTTTGTCGATAGTTGGGTTTGTAAAAGTATTGGAGTCAGGGGATTTGGAAGCATATGTCAGACACCCGCCTCCTCTTTTGTCCACTCATTCCTGTGAATTTCATAGTCATCAGCTAACAGCTTTCTATCACTTATATCGTTAGTTACCAGGACCAGTGTTGGCCATTCCGTGTATACCGAGCAGCGAAAAGAAGTTATTTTGTTAAGAAAAGATCGAGCATTTAAGGGTATAATTTTCAGAAAACCAGGGTTGTTGGGAAGACAGTTGGTAGGTTTTCTTGCTATTATCCCTAACTACTGGTTGCCTATGTTATGTTTGAAGCGATTCTCAGATGAAACATTGTCAGCACGTCTACTACTCCCTGAACAAACTGCGCTGCGAGAGGGGCCATTGTTTGCTGCCACCGAAAATAATCCTGTTGCATATATTGGTTTCTGACATCATTGCATGAGTATCTGAAATCGTTTCTTGGTATAAGATAATCCGTTTCGCTCTCCAGTTTGTAATCTACAGGGGTGAGGTACCCTGTTTTTTGCGTTGTTTTGAGGGTAGTTCGTGCTACATCTTTCGCAGTTTTACAGTTGTTGACTCATTCCGTGCGCTTACATGGAAGGACCATGAGCTAATCCATACCCGTTATGCCAATGGGGCTTCATGGAACTACTACGAGGGTTCGAGAATATATTTCCGTTCATTTGGTACCTAGCATTGTCTCGTCTAGTCGCCCATGTGTTTTTATTATTGATCATGGGCCCTGTTCCCAGCTTTCGTGTGTCTTTAGGCATATTACAACGTGAGATATAACGTAAATCGTGGGTCTCATTCTGCTGTTTATTCAGCTTGGCCCCTTTTGCGTGTCCTCTAGCGTATGATCTTTTATGGGTAAAGCTATTCTTACTGTTATTTCTCACCTTGTGTAGTTTGTCGCCCACAGTTTGTCTATTACTCTTAGTTCGCAGTAGAGCATTTCCATTTACGTGTTCCGTCTCCTTTATGAGACGTGCCATGTGTACATCGTTCTTTTTCAGGCTTACGTGTTGTTTGTCGGGCTTGTCACATGAGAGGTATACGGACGCCTGTGGGGAGACTTTGGTTTTTGGAGACTTTTTCGGCTTTAACAGTGGGACCATTTTGCTTGACGCCGGGTGCAGTGCGATCTGTTTATATTTGCAGGTTGTCGGTAGTGAAATCATCTGTGTCTACTTCATGTGCGGGATCGGTAGATTTCCTAGGAGTGTTCTCATCAACCTCAAGACCCATTTCAGTGTTACCGCTCCTTTTGGGTTTCACTTCACCTTTACGCATCTCTGGTTCACGTAGTACAACGCGAGTGTCACTTTGTGCTTCAGTGTCCTTCGATACTTTGGCACTGACGCTATTCATGATTTGTGGTATAATCGTGTTTGTATCTAAGGTGTTCTTAGCTACAAGTCAACGGTTGGGGGTTTTGTACGAGACTATCTTAGCAGATTTGAATTTTGTATTGGAGGCTAATATACTCCAAGATTCCCTAAATTGTCAGATTATCATACAGCTATTAAACCTGAGAAGTATGGACAATGGGCGGTTTGACTCTTTTTTATTTAGTCGAATACACTGACTGGGTGAACTTAATAGGTTTGCAGCTCTTAACAAGTACGGCTGAACCGACTTTGCGGGCTAGTTGTCAAGTGTGTTGTACGCTTTGGCTTTTTGTTTAGAAGCAAATCTTTTAACAACTTCTCTGGACTAATAGTTTCTTAACATCTTCCAGTTCAGTAAGGGTTGGTTCAGTTCTCAATTTAAATAGTTTTAGTTAAGTGAGATCCCCCATTTCCCTTATAAGATGTAAGATTGTTCCTGATATCAGGTCAAGTGGGTTTAGTTGCATCCTTAGGTCGTCGGTGCGTCAGTGGCACAGTGGTAAGGACTCTCGCCGACCATGCACATGGTCCGGGGTTCGAGCCCACACCGGCTGACACCTGATATCTATGGTCGGCCTGCAAAATTTGGGCTACCGATATCCACGCTGAAAATTCCATACTTGTACCAAAAATACAACGTGGAATCAAGCTGTAATCAGAAATAAAGAAATATCTGATTGCAGAAACAAAGGTTTTGTTAACGATTCTTATTATTCTTATTCTTAAATGCCTTATCATACTATTCAGTTTAATTTGCCTTCTGTTTCCCATATAAAGTGATTTGACAAATGGATATGTAAACAGGCGTCTCGAAGTCTATTACGCGAACGCACCATAATTCTGCGATAATTCCTGTCCTGCAATAACAAATCCAAATTTATTCAGGTTACTGACTGTTTTAGTTCTAATGTACCTCCACTTGTTGTATTTGATAGAGTCACGGGTCAACCTAGTGCATTTTACTAAGGCACTCAAGAGTCATCGAACTGTCTCTGGACTATAAGAAACGAGTTTCAAGGAATAATTAGGTCCATAGTAGGTCAACAAAACTATGTCCCACGTGGACTACATCATAAGGTAAAGTATGGCTTTTCATCCCATGTAATTAGTGTTAAATCGCGTAAATATGAAGATTATTATTTTGATAGACGGTGAAGAATCTCTGTGGTTAGACAGGAAAAAGTATCACGTGGCGTTGTTAAAATTCACCAATTGTTTAACGGTCTGTAGATTCAGCCTTATTCGATGAGAAGGTCATCGAACTAGTTAGGGATTTACATAAATTCTCTCTTCAAATCTCACTAGTGAAGAAATGAACTAAAGATATGCCTGTGGTTATTATTATGGTTCACAAAGTATACAATGAGATATATATTCCCATCATATCCACCAAACCTTTTCCGTTCTGTACAAATCTGTAAAATATGTTCACTGCTGTGTATATTTATCATTACTCTCAAAGTCTGTTGTTGCTCTACAGACAATAATTTTTCTGTTCAACACAATGCTACTGTTAAACCTGACTTGTTTGATTTCTCTCAAAGTAAAAAAAAGGCGTTGTATACTCCTTACTGGGCCGTGGAAATTAAAGGTGGAGAGGAAGCTGCTCGTGCTGTAGCTGAGAAATATGGGTTTCTGTATCTTGGGGAGGTGAGTATTTTCGTTTTTCATCGTTCTAGATCTAAATGAGATGAATAGTCATGATTTACTTGTTGTTGGCTTTCCTGTTCTATACTGGTGACCACTTAATAATATATCATTTGACTTTGACGTGTCACTCATTTGTAAGGTTCCATTGTTAACAGTTGTAAATAATCTTAGGCATAATTGAAAGGCTTTATTTTAGCTTCTCTGTAGTGTTTGTGGTAAGACATATCTAGTAATATTTGATCAGGCTGTTGAAATCAGCTGCTATTTAACGGAAAAATAATAGTTACACATAGTTGAAGAAGAAATTTTAGAAGTCTCTGTTGTTTCCACATTAAAAATATAACACCTACCAAGCCTTTATTACCTTGTATCCACTAGAAAATTGTCGTTTTATTGACTTCAAGAAATTCCCAAGACGGAGTGAATTTCTTGACTTTTAAGGAAATCAGGTCATTTGTATCTTCACTATCATCTGATCTAATCATTGAAGTGTTATGTGTGACATTTTGTCAAGACAGGCAGTTAATTTTCATGTGTTTCGTATGCATAGCTCTCCATATCTGATTAGAAATTTAAAGCTGTACAGGTCTTTCAGTTCCAACACGTTAAACTCAATGTCTTTAGTTTAGTCATAAAGTTACCATCGTAATGTTTAACCAAACTTAAAGACTTTAGATCAGGTCTTTGGGATTTTCTTCGATATTTAAATACTATTGGCCAAGTGCCTGAACTTTTCGAATAACAGCAAGTTAGTGTACATTTCAAAGTGTGCTTATCACTTATATCATAATCTGAATAGCCATTAAAACGAAACACATTCTTGATAAGATTATATGCTCTTTTATTTACTGTCACTTGTGTCATGTGAACGCAATAATAATAAGCTTATCTTGATATTATCTATGCTAGTCCTTCTTTTATCTAATAAGTGGGGATATCTAGATCTTGCGGTGATTATATTCTGCCGAAAATTTAACACGCTCTTCTTGTACTTTGCTTTGTACGACACTATTAATTGTTTCTCTTATGACATACGGTTTTAGATTTTACCTGGAATTTATCATTTCAAACATAATCGCCTTTCCAAGAGATCAGTGAGACAAAACAATTTTTACCATGACCAGTTAGCCAATGATGAACAGGTATGTCTGGATGTTTCATGTTCTTTTGTTTAATGGAGTTTTCTTTTTTAATGTTTTTATTTGACAAAATATCAGTTTTACCCGTAGATTAACTGTCACGTGTAACGAGATATCTTTATACAAGTTAGCATTTTACGAGTGTTCAAAAATCACTATCTGAAAGTAACTTTGGGAATGTTTAATACATATACCTACACGTGTTTGGTTGGAGGATTTTATCATGAGCTGACATCAGTGAGAGAACGATTGGAAAACCTTCAGGGAGTACTCGACAGCTGTTTCCTCCATTCTAGTTTGTAACTCTTAATCAGTACATACTCACCACCAGGGTTCAAACCCAGGACTTTCTGGTTACAAGTGTTTTTCCTATTATATTTTTTCCGTGATTTGGAATTTCTCTAGTGTTTGGGTTGTTTTTTCTGTGTATGGCCTGTAGTTGCGCTGTAAAGCCCCTATTTTTCTCGGGCTAATGACCGGTTAGTAAGCTGAGTTTTGGCTTCCTCGTCTGGTGTCGGACCCTGGGTCTCCAGAATGGGAGTACGGTGAGGGAGGACTTGTTAGCGAATATCAGTCACGAGATGTTGCATCTGAATAAGATGTTGAAGGCTATCCATGAGATTTTTGTGAAGTGTATTCACTTGTTCGAGGAGATAATGAAGGATAAGGAGGGCTACTAGAAGTTCTGTGAGTAGTTCTCTAAGAACAATAAGCTTGGAATCTATGAAGATGGTGTGAAGAAGAAGGGAAGCTTGCTGATTTCGTGGTTCTCTTACATCACATTTCCTTATTCCTTATTCTCTGAAATAAAATGTATCTCCCTGCTATTTGATATTTTTATGCCGATGAACATTCCTTTATATACTACTGATAAATCTTATCAGTAGCACTCACCACACTTGTACTTTTCTGAGTTCCTCTTTGGAAGGAAAATCTATAATTCAAGGTGTCGAGGCTGTTGTAAAAATTAGAGTGTATGAAATGACTTTTTCTTTACTGTTGTGAATTCTGTGTGTTGTGTCTCTCTCTCTCCTCATAGACTTTCTGAATTGTTTCATCCAACGTCATCGATGTCATAGTTTTCAGCTTATTTTTGATTTTCTTTCTTCATATTCACTGTTCACATTTTTATTACTGAACTAGAGAAATATCTTAAAAGCACCTGACTCTTTGTAAATAGAAAGTTATCAACAACTTAAATTAAGATCCCTTTTTTGTATACTTTAACCAAACTATCTCATCACAGCTGGAATATTAAGTAGATTTAGACGACTGCTTAGTGGTATATAATAGAAAATGATTTACAATTTTGAATAAAGAAAGCAATCCCGAGATATACATGTATTCTCATAGTTTGGTGTCTTTTTCCTAAATGGAAATAATACCGTAACAAATAGTCGATAACCTTTGCGTATATTTTCGAAAAAAAGTAGTAACGTCGCATATTCTAAGACAAAGATATATATATATATATATATATATATATGTATTGTATGTGCATGTTTATAACGAAAGATGCGAGTCGCTCACTTTCTGCTTGTAAAAATATACTTTTTTTAAAAAAAACGAAAATACGCATATGTTCCTCTGTTCGCTGTTAGTTCTAATTGAAAAAGGATGTTGAAAGTATGCAAAGAATTCTTAGAAAGTAAACGTATGTTTCATTTCAAAATCACATAATATGCCCTATCATGATAAAAGGGTAAAGTATGTTGAACTGGTTAACATGTACGTCTAGATATATCGGTTGGATTGTTTGTCGCAGCAAAGTAGTCAACTTGGATGCTTTCATTATTACAGTCGCGTAGTATGATTTATTAAGATTTCAGGGCGAGCATAATGGCGAATGCGAAATGTTTCTTCACGCATAGTATAGCAAATGCCAAAACAGATTTTTTTTACTTTTAAGAAGGTCGATAAAACACATTTTAAACAACAAACGGTAACATCAGAAATGATTTCTGCATTCCTTTAAGCACGTAATACCAACTATATCTGAGAGAATGAAAAGCATAGTTTATCCACCTTTGTTCTATCCATTCAAGTGGACAAAAATGAAAGGAAAGCAAATTTATTCTGCTGTAACTTATATACTCACCACCCACAATTCTATTGTCATCATCAAAGGAAGTGGACGACCCAACTTCACTTTCGGATGATTTGATGCATTGTGTTCGGTTCAAGTATTTAAGTTCTCATAACCCATTGAATCAGAAAAGAAGACTTTCTTAGATTATTCATTAACTGGCAACTTTCATTCTACACAGTATTTTTGGTACAAGTATGGAATTTTCAGTATGTGATATTGATAGCCCAAATCTAACTGACCAACCATTGATATCAGGTGTGTTTTGGCCGAGGATCGAACCCCAGACCATGTACATGGTCGGCAAGCGTCCTAACCGCTGTGTGTCACTGACTTGAGAGTTTAATTTTAATGTATTGTGATGTCGTCGTTATCAAAGGTGTATAATTTCTCAAGTAAAATCAACGGAATATGTACGTAAAATTATTTGAAGAGTATTCATTGTTCAGTGTGACATGAGGAGGAGTATACGGATAATAAGAGATGTGTATACGTCCAAAAATCTAGAAGATATTATAGGATAGAGGAAAATTATGGGGTAATTCCATACTGATAGTACTTACTACCCATGTTGCAATCTATATTAATAAATAACTGGTGGTGGTTACGCATATAAAGAACCTGCCTGTCTTTATATCTCCCTCTATCTATCATCATTGTCGTCTGTTTCAAGATGTCTTCTGTTAGCATTTAAACACATATGATGCTGTATCATTCAGATTATGACTGTTTGAATTATCACGGCAGTTAAGCAGAACCCCCCCCCCCTTCCGGCCATCCATAACCTAATCGTTTTTTCTCTTTTCATTATCCTATTGCGTTCATAAACGTTCCGTATTGCTGTGTGCGGCTTATTCAACTTAAGAAACTTTACAGGATTTCATCACGAGCTGACATTAGTTAGAGAACCATTAGAAAACCGGGGATTACTGTACAGCTGTTTCGTCGGCCTAGTTTGGGACTCCTCATCAGTACGCACCCACCAGGTTTCGAACCCAGAACCTTCTGGTTACAAGGCCACCGAGCTCGTAGACCATTAAGACACTGGGATCCGATCCAATGGCTAGCCCATGAATTCTAACTTCTGCCAATTCACGACATAGCGCTACCCCTAGCCAATGTCTTGGGCGAGTATTTGTCCTCATACCCGACCTGCTGCACCCTACTGGCACCAGTCAATGAAATCTACAACAGTTAGTTTAAGCCAGCCACATAGAAAGGTTTAGACTATCTAACTGGTTGGGGTCTTCGCGACGGTAAAATCCAATGGCTGGAAACAATTGGTGATATGGCCGGCTCAAAGTGATCGTTCTCAATGGCTGGTGCAGATGCATCCACTACTTGTGACTTATGATTTTCAATGAAACTATATTGTTCTTCGTTATTACTCTTCCTTTGTCTCACACCTCTGTTTACTGTCTCTATTTTGCATTTCTTGTACTTTCTTCCCTTGCTTTGTGTGCTACATGTGGGGAGTGTGATGACTTGAACTGGTGCACATCGGTGCAAAGTTTTATGTTGAAAACAGACAGACAGTCTGGTCACGACTTTAAATCGAAACGGTAGTAGGTGATGTCGGTATTTTGATATTTAAGGCAGAATAAAAAAAAGGCGGTTACAAATAGGAAAAATAATACCTTCTAACGAATTCATCACAACTGCACGACTATACATTCATGAAAAAAAAATGTTGAGGGAATTCCAAAATTATTTCCTATCGGGAATCAAAATATGGAGCTTAACTTTTCGAGTAGCTCATACCTCAGCTATGTCCGAATTTCCTGGTCTCCCTTTCACAGGCTTTATGGAATTGTGTATAGGGTTTTTTAATAGATTTCGCAAATGAAGCTGAATACCTTGACTTCATGAAGTGTTCTGTTGTGGAACTAAAAACACATTTTAACTGATTAAAAATTCTCATTGAAATTTATCAAAAGATTGGTTACTGAACAAAGAAGTCTTCTCGATAACCCCTTCATCATCAGGTTCTAGAGTTATGTATACATAATAGTCAATGAATTAGTGTTATGAACAACATTAACGTTTAAATAACATCGAATCAATAATAATAATAATGTCAATGGATTACAGTTCGATAGCATCAACATAACAGTGCACTGAATGAATATCAGGCAGGTAAATTAAGAAAGATTATAATACAAATTGATGAATTTATTGTCTCCAGTAAAGGCTGTCCAGGGCAGTAGAAAGGGCTGGTTGGGCTTGCTTTTTCCACCCACAGAGCACCTGTTGCATAAGGCGAATTGCGATAGCCTCTACTAGTTGGATTATGCGGTACCTGGTTGTTTTTGACAGTTTATATAGTACCCAGTGGATGATGGAAAACGCTTCTTCAATATTGTTTTGTGGCCAGTTTGGACCAGGTGATCTACTATCGAATTATTTTATGGTTTTTACTACACCTTTATATAGTCACACTGGGAGATGTTCCCAATCGAGCACAAAAAATCAGGTTCCTAGAGCAACGGCCAATGTAACTTACTCTACCACAAGCGCAGTTGAATTGGCAGATACAGTTAGAAATGGCTCATTTAGTTACTTCATCTTTCAATGCAGGCATCACTATCGGTCGTGTAGAAAACATGATTTGTAGTTTACCAGCATTAAAAGTTCTTTGAGTAGATTTGCCTAACTTGTTATTAATTATTCCCCTAGGTGTGTCACCTTTGAATTTCAGTCGTATATATAACGGCTTTGTGTGTAAAAGAAGGAAGTCCAGCCAGTGACTATTACTACTGTCCTGGCCAGCCTTCAGTTCAGACTATAAATTCATGAATTTGTATTATTATCTTTCTTAATTCGGTCGTTTGATATTCAGTGTATTGTTGTGTTGATATCATAATTGATTCGATGTTATTTGAACAGCAACATTAATGTTGTTAACAACACTAATTCT